GGAAAACAATTAAATGAGAGTGGTATGAATAAAAAATCAAACGCAAGTCACAGTAACAAGGAAGGAGAAAACATTAAAACAAGTCACTTACACACAATGTCGTCTTAATCAACATCGTGCAAATCTGGACTTGCCGAGATGGGAGGTCTGTGAAAACAAAATGTAAAGCTATGATCGGTATCCATCCGTATCCATTTCCTTTTACCGCAGAATGAAAGCATATTCTTTAAATCTTACCCTTGCTCCGGTTCATAGCGCCTGCAATTAGTCTCCGAGTTGTTAAGACGGCGTACTGCTTTCTGTGAATCACAAAAAATACACTTTAGTAAAGCTTGTTCTTGCAAGGCTACTATTAGCCGCTATTAGCCGTAGCTCAGGCTAGGCCGCTTTTAGCTTAGCAGGCAGTAATCGAACATATATTTACCGCTAGCATCTCTTCTTTGAGTTCGTCTTGTTCGATGCAGAGTCGCCATCGTGTCCAAGAGGAGTTTTACCCCGAAATTTAGAAGCTCCAGACCGCCTGCACAAAGCAAAGCATACATCCTCCACTGTGGCTGCACACCGCCGCTCTGAGTTTCTTGGAGATCGTACAGAGCATGCGCGAGATGAACCAGGGTGTCCGCGGATCAATAAAAATAATTAAAAAATCATTCTTTTTTTTTTTTTTATCAAGGCCTTAATTGGCACTAAAATTATTTAAATATGTTTATCGAAGTATTTATAATTCTTTAATAAAAAATGCTTATAAAAACAATTTCGTCAGATATATTATATCGCTCCAGGCGGAGAAAAAGCTAGAGGATATATTTATATACGTATATATGTGTGTGTGTGTGTGTATGTGTGTATGTTTATGTACATACAGGAGTCATGGAACTGTGCTTACAGCTCCTTCATATTTCGTGTACAATAATAACTTGTGTACATGGTTCTTGTTGATGGCATTAAAATCATTTCAAATAGCATTAAAATAGCATTAAATTAGAGTCACTCATTCCTGTATGAACCCTGTGAGCGCTTAATTTAATATGACATATTAAAAAAATCCCACCATCATCCAGCATACGTTCAGTTTCTGCCCAAATATATATATATATATATTTTTTTAGATTTTTGTAACGGGGATAAGGATAATTCAAAACTGCTTTTTTTTTAATGAACTTGTTCACTACTTCCAAACTCAGCATCTCTTTTCATTCCTGTAATAAGAAGTTTCTTTTGAATGGATTTGATTAAAGTTTAAGTCCCTCGGTATAAAATAAATATTTTGATGGAGATGAGAAATCTGCTTTCTCGTTGGTGAATAACCAATAGTTTGGATCCAATGATTTAAATAAACGGTGTTAGTTTTTTTTTTTTTTATATATATATATATAAGAATTGTGCTATAATTTCTAGTCACCGATCTGTTGCTGCTATATTTTAATTTGACGAACCGGAATTTGTCGATGTTCTTTTTCCTGTTTGGTGCGATTGCAATTGCGGATCTTGACCTGGCCGGACCTTATGACCACAGTGTACCAATCTTCTCATGGCTACTTCCAACAGGATAATGCGCCATGTTATAAAGTAAATCATCTCAGACTCATTTCTTGAAACTTTTCCACTTAAGTAATTGTGAATTGAGCATATTGACAGACAACATTTTATTTTTTATCTTAAATGCAATTTTTTTTTATATAATTACTGCTCTAAATGTATTGCTCTGTCAGCTAAAGATCTGTTTTGGTCTCTATACTTTAATTAAATAAATCAATTCAAGCTAAAATGTAAGAGGCTATACTAAGCCTGATCTCTTTGTGTCAGAGAATTTCTTACCCAGAAAGATGTCACTTGGGGTAAAACCCCCCCTGCAACCCTGATTTGCATTTGTATAGCTCACAGCATGTTCATTTACATGTTAAAGCCTCCCCTAGAATTCCATGGGGGGGGGGGCATGGGGGGAACACTGCCTAAGAGAGTCCACGTCAATTTCTGACAATTTACGGGAGTTTTCGGCGAAGCCTGCAAATTGTCGAAAACTGCCGCTAACCTGAAGTTCCACGACAATCTACAGTGCCGCATATTGACGAAAATCCCACTTTTCATGCAGTGTAACACCTGTGTAGATGTTAATCTACAATGAGAATCAGCTGTGGTTGGTCCAATTGTCCACTTATTTTTATAGCATTTAATTTTAAGATGTAAAATATATTTCATTAAAATATTCCTGTAGAAATGTAGCAAATTGCTGTCTTATTCAGTTTTGTATTATGTTATTGTTTTGAACATAAGTTTAACAGTTTTGAAAACAGTATGTAAGCATGTGCAAATTGTCCTGTAGGTACACAGAGTTTTGGCGGTTGTTGTGTCGAAGTGAGAAAAGAATTAATGTAATTTGAAAGATTTAGTCATTGAATGCATTTTGTGCCAAAGCAATGATAAATGATCCACAGTTTAGCCCACATATACTTCTGTTGTGCTCACTGTGTGAAGAGTTTTGAAAAAGTGACCTAAGTATTGAGAAATGTGTCCTAGCGACTGTAAAAAACTGTAATAGAGATGATCAACTGTTTAATTATGGTGAATTTCCTGGTGAATATAACTTCCCTGTGACCCCTAAAGAATTTGCCGTTGTTTTCGATGCTATTCCTGCAGGTTTGAAATTTCTTATGTCAACATCAGGTAAAACCCAGGTCCAGCATCCCAGATTTCCAGAATTATTTATTAGGAATTCAGATCCATTTCTTAGAATTAAAACAGGAAATAAACATATAAGAGAAATAATCCAGAGGAATACTATTAGCAAACCTGCCTCAACCTTTTTTTGGAACAATCTATTTTCACATATCAATTGGGAACAAACATGGTTATTGCCAAGAAAAATGTTTGTTTCTACTAAAATACGGGTAGTGTCCCTTAAAATTTTGCACAGGTGTTATCCTGTTAATTCAGTACTGAACAAATATATTCCAAATATTGATCCACTTTGTTCCTTGTGTCACATCGAACAAGAAACATTAACCCACCTTTTTTGGGAATGCTCTTTTAGCAAAGTTTTTTGGTGTGACTTCAATAATTTTGTTAATGGGAAATGCAATATACTTATTGCGCTGAATGTTGTTGTGCCATATGCCATGGTCATACTTTTTGGACATAGGGTTAGTTAGCAGTTTTGGTGAATAATAGCAGGGGGACTTCAGCAGCCCCCCCTTTTTCAGCCAAAACAGTCACAAGCAAGTCACACGGAAGTCACAGAGGTGTGACCAACAACCAACACCCCTCTGTGAGGACAGAGAAAACCACAGACCACACAGGATTCTGCCTCTTTTGCCTCTTTTGCTCTTCTCTCTTTCTCCCTCTTCTGATCCAGCCTGCTTCTGCTCCTGCGCTCAAAGCTGGGGCCCACTGTGGCCCACAGTGGAGATGCAGGCCCCAGGGGAACCAGATCCCCAGAACCATCAAGGATGAGTCAGAACTCTTCAGAACCTAACTGCTGCAAACAGAACTTTTGCAACACATTTCTCTCGAGTTTCAGAACTTACAGAGCCAAACTGGATGAGAACCATATCCTTGGGGGTGAGACTGAGAGGACCCCTGCTGTGAGACTGAGACAAAGGAACCCCTGACTGCAGAGCTGCAAAACTGGATGAAACTCAAGCTTTCCAAACGGACATGGAAAAAGGTTTGCAGGTCTGGCATGATTAGGGACAGAACAAGCAATGTGTCTTTTGATGATGCTAATCATATCGTGTGTCTACTGCTGAGTAAAGACAACGCTAATTGATGCTAAAGAATGGACTGCATGCTACGCTATGCTACAGGAATATGTGTTGAGCTGTTGCTAAAGCTTAGACAAGCTTTATTCACTAAGGATTTAAACACTGATATAACATTAGTGTTCATATGTTCCTCAAATGCTCATTACATTTCCATTACCAAGTATGACCAAGAGTCATTTAGTGGAAGCCTGATGTCTATTCACTGCTAGCTATTTCAAAGAGGGTAAAGAATCATTTAGCTAAAGGTTATTGGTTCTTGATTAAGCAAATCATTCAATAAAACATTATTTGGTCAAATAATGTTTTATTCACCTCATGGATTTGCATTGTGAATTGGTCTGAAAACATTCCAATTTCTTTAAAATTAGTGAAAAGCTAATTTGATCACATTCCAAATTCTTCCAGATAAACTTTGGTTTCAAAAACAGAATCCATCTTAAACTGTAATATGTTTTTCAACCGTTTTCCCTTTCCTCTTTGTACATAGTAGTTAATTTAGTTTAGTTGAGTTTTACTAGTCTTAGTTGAGAGTGCTAAACTGAAATATGTTTGACTTGGAGCTGAATGATTTTTGTTAATAAAATCTTATATTTTGAACAGAAGTTGTGGTGAATTTATTCCATGTATGTGCAGAATTAACTGTTTGACCATGATTAGTGCTCGAATCACTCTTTCATCTATTGTTCTAACACACAGTTAGTAGGACTGTGTGTCATAAATAGTATATAACAGCCGAAATAATATCTGAAATAATATCTGATTAAATAACCCCTACAGGGGAGGGCAATAAACATCTTAAAGTATCAGAAACATAAATTCCCAGCGGGCTGGGAATAGAATTTAACTATAGAATCACAACAATGTTAAACATGTTCTGTTTGGTATTTCCAGGGGCAGTATGTCTGGGAAAGAATATATTATACATTTTCTTATTCTGTTAGCCAAGTTCCACATATTTGTTTGTAAATTTACTAAAAACAAACCCAACCTCACTGTTTTTAGAGCTTATGTAAGTTGTTTTTTGGACTCCTTAAAAATATGCACCAACTCTAAAGCTATGAAACTTATAACCCTAAGTGGTGAACTTAATTTGTAATCTATTTTTTTCTGTTTCATGGAATTCTATAGTTCTGTTACTGTTCGGATCTGGAGGTCTGTCCACTTTCTCCACCAGAGGGCGTACGAGATCTCCTGGAGCCAGAGCTGATTGCACCACCTGTCGCTCATCTGCTCATCAGGAGATCCGTATTTAAGGAGGCAGAGGACTTCTCTCCAGTGCCAGAGTGTTTGCCAGTAACGGTTAGCATGCCTGAGCCAACCAGCCTGTCTGAACCTCTGACTCCGTGAAAACCAGAACCTGAACCTTATCTGTTTTCTCCTCTCTGCTTCCTAGATTGAATCTGCCAGTAACCTGAAACTCTGAAGAGTTTCTCTGCCGGTGATCTGCCTGTCCATTCTCAGAAGAACTCTGGAGAACAATTCCTGTCTAAGATCTGCCTGCCTGCTGTCAGAAGATACTGGAAGGAAACTCAAATCTGTGATCTGCCTGCACTCAAATCAAGCTCTGCCTCCGCCTAGCCCTCAGCCTGCCGACTGGAACAGGTACTGCCCAGCACGCTCTCATCCTGCTAAATACCTGGACCTCCACTAACTCCTCTGTCCCCCTCTGCAGTAAACCCACTAGTGACCAGTCCTGGATCTGATTTATCTGTGTGCTTTTCAGAACCCACTCGTGACCAGACGAGTTCCCCTCTGGATCAGTTCATTTATTGTGTTCAATCTTCTCAATAAACCTTTGAACTTTTCTGCATGTGGGTTAGACACGTTAAACCAAACATGACAGTTACCCCAGTACCTAGAGCATACTACTGTCTGCAATTGTATATTCTTTATTTGTAAATTAAAGTTTGCTAAAAAAAAAAATAAAAATAAAATAAAAATAAATTCAAGATCAGGCTGTTATCTTTGCACCAGCCCACCAGCTGCTCCACCTCCTCTTCACCATGATATTGGTGGTGAACCTGTGGATGCAGTGAGGTTCATATTGGTAATGACTGTTATGTTTTAGCATGGAGAATCTGGTAATTCAAGCCGACACAGTATGACCTTTCAAGATTTATTGATGAAGGTGAGTATGTTGCAGACAGGAAGAGAGGCAGGTCCTGGACATAAGCAGGACAGTCCAACAGTACATGCAGAGAACTGACCCAAAGAAGCTGACAGCACCAGGCTAGACTTAAGTTGAGAGGGTTAGCCAAGGTCAACTGCAGAAAAGATCTGCCACTGGAAGAACCAGGAGTAATCGTCAGATATGGCCTGTAGCCATTTGAAAGGTCAGACAGGGCCTGTTGCTGCCATCAAGGTTAGACATGGCATGTAGCTGTCCAGAAGGTCAGACATGGCATGTAGTTTTCCAGAAAGTCAGACGGGGCCTGTTGCTGCCCAGAAGGTCAGACTTGGCATTTAGCTGTCAAGAAGGTCAGATGTGGCTTGCAGCTAACCAGAATGTCAGATGTGTCCTACAGCTTCCCAGAAGGTCAGATGTGGCCTGTAGCTGCCCAGAAGGTCTAACATGGCCTGTAGGTCACCAGAATATCAGACGTAAACTTGTAGCTGTTCAGAAGGTTAGACGTGGCCTGCAGCTGCCGAGGTCAGACAAGGCCAGGTCACCAGAATGTCAAACATCAACTTGTAGCTGCCTAGACAGTCAGAAGTGGTCTATAGCTGCCCAGAAGGTCAGACTTAGCTTGTATCTACCCAGAAGGTCCCTCTCTGGTCCCTCGATCTTGGTCTCTGCTTTGATTCTACTCTGGCCACTTGAATAATATGCCTTTTTCGTGGCATTGGAGGTGTGGCTGGCCAGACAGAGCAGCATTGCATGGACTAGTTTCTCAGGACAGGATATTTCCAATTCTTGCATTGAATTGAATCCTTCCACTGGCTCTTTGTTGTTCAATTCAATTCAAGTCAGTTTATTTATATAGAGCCAATTCACAACACCCTAACCACACCTTAAAGGAATAGTACACCCAAAACATGATTAGCCTTCATTTTCTACTCACCCCCATGCTGAACAACACCCTGGAGTACTTTTTTGATATCTCAAATGCATCTGGAGATCTGGGAGGCTTCTTGCTGTCTGCTGACATTCAAATAATGGAGGTCTATTGTGCCCGAGACAGAAAGGTCCATAAAAGTCCACAAAAACGTGTCAATATTCCTCCATACTGCTCGTCCAATGTATTCCAAGTGTCCTGAGTGGGTAGCATCCAGAATTTACTCGAAACGAAGTCATTTAGAATGTTTTTAGAGCATAAACAGTAGTGTATAGGATTTCCTGAAAGCGCGCGCCGGCGCGTTCATGACGCTACGGAAGCCGGCAGACCAAACCAGATGAAAGTGCACATTCAGCGTCTGTTCTTCCAATAATGCAAGCGTAGAAGAAGAAATGTGCCGTTTACCTGTGCAAAGAAAGAAACAACGAAAGAAAAATGTGTGAGGACTTCAGTGTTGAGGAAGAGCATGAGTTCTTTGCCGAGCTGAATGCGCTGGTTTGGTCTGCCGGCTTCCGTAGACTCGTGAACGCGCATGTGCGCGCTTTCAGGAAATCTTAAACACTACTGTTTATGCTCTAAAAACATTCTAAATGACTTCGTTTCGAGTAAATTCTGGATGCTACCCACTCAGGAAACTTGGAATACATTGGACGAGCAGTATGGAGGAATATTGACACGTTTTTGTGGACTTTTATGGACCTTTCTGTCTCGGGCACAATAGACCTCCATTATTTGAATGTCAGCAGACAGCAAGAAGCCTCCCAGATCTCCAGATGCATTTGAGATATCAAAAAAGTACTCCAGAGTGTTGTTCAGCATGGGGGTGAGTAGAAAATGAAGGCTAATCATGTTTTGGGTGTACTATTCCTTTAAGCTTTCCTCATGGCTCTGATTGGTTGTCTCTGACCCACAGTGAGGTTGCAGAAAGGGAGGTGCAAAAGGAAAGACAAAGACCACTGGAAAGAGGAAAAGTTTGAGTGTATGATCTGGTGAATTGTACCTTGAGATGATATGTGTTGTGAATGGGCGCTATAAGAAGAAACTGAATTGAATTGAAAAGAAGCTTGTTTTTTTTTCACCCTCATTTTCTGTCTAATATTCTTCTGTCGGGACAAAGTGACAGTGTGGCAAAATTTAAGAAATATTTTTTTATTTTCAAAAGTGAGGCTGACCTAACTTTAGCAAAGCTGAAGGTTTTGAGCCTAAACATATTTGGATTTGTATAGCTTTATCAAACTTTAATAACTCTCAGTTTTGTCTGAAAAAGATCAATCCCAGGTTAGTATGCTACCACCATCATGCATTACTGTCTGTCAGGGTTTGAGGACCCAAATGCAGAGGCAGGGAGGCAGTGATGAGTTTTCTATTGATTTAATGAATGGTTCACAAACAACTGAGAATCCAAAAATCCAAAAAACATCCAACACGGAAAAAAAGTAAAACAAACCAGAGCCATGGAGACTTCAGGGGGGAAACAATCACGACGCGGTTAGACACAGTAAGGCATAGATAGACAAAGTTAGACAAGGAACCAGCACTGAGGAACTGCACAAGGAGAGTATTTATGTATAACTGAACAAAGAGAGGACTAACAAGCAGATTGGGAGCAGGTGTGAAGAGAGCAGTCTAAGGAGGTAGGGAAAAAGGAGACCAACACAAGAGGGCAACAGAGGGCAACAAATAAAAACCTGAGAACTGAAATATAACCAGAAAAGACAACAAAATAAGAATTAAACCATTAAACTAGAAAACATGGAGCAAAGTTAAACTGACTACTCAAAAGAAAACATAACAGAACCAAGACTGTGACACTGTCAGTTTTAACAGTGATTGCCGTGATTATTTTCTGAAAGCATATTTTCTGGAATCCCTGGTCTTGAAGTGAAACTGTTACCTTAAAATGTTCAGCTGTTGTAGGTGAACCCAAAAGTTAGTTAATCACAAGGCTATAATGCAGAAGGTATGTCTGAGGAGAAAACCTGATTTGTTTCAACTTATGGAGATCAGAGATTTTTGTGACATGTCAAAACAAGCTGATAAACTCTAATTATATTATGGCCAGTGCCAAACTTAGACTCAGCCATCTGATTACCAGGTGAAAAGGTGAGACATATCATTCTAGACCCAATGCCTCCAGTCCAGCATTGATGTGCTTCACACCAAAGCCATGCATTGAATTGCAATCAGTGATGTAATGCATGGATTCAGCTACTAATTTCTAGAGCTAATTTTATGGAGGTGGATTTGTATTTAAATAGTTCTCATTTCCAGTCACTCAATCTTGTTGTGATATCACCATCTTTTTAATGTGGAATATTTAGCAAAGAAATGTTATAAAAGGATGTATTGCTCAGGTAGCAGTATAGCTGTAAAGTTAACTGAAGTCCTCAGAATGAGCCAGTCTTTCACAATGTTTGTAGGCAGTCTGTAGCTGAGATTCTGTGGAGTAAAATCAAATGACCTGGGTGGAGGAGCCAGTATTGACAATAAACATTATTTAAACTGAAGGGAGGTACAAAAAGAAAAAGAAAAAAATTTGTTTTCAAAGTCAGTTTTTTCTCTCTCAAGTAGCCGCTGGTTCTCTGGGAAACACTTAGAAGATCCAATCAGGTGAAATCCTACAGAGGGAGATTAAAAAACCAAAAATGCTGCTGTGACCAAGACGAAAAGGTGGGAGGTGGAGAGGCGAGAGCAGCGTGTGACCCTGAGAGTGAAACATAACGTGTCCTTATAAAACCTAGAGTATACGGATTATCAGCTCATCATAATTAACTGCATGCGGTGTTAAATTTCCAAAAAGAATTTCTCTTTACCATAGAAAAACAGATTAGTTTGACCAAATCATTCAAATGCTGTTGCTAGTCATGTATCCTTAAGCAACAAGCCTTAAATAGCCGCCTGTTTTCTGGTTATAAATAAAAACCTTTCATATGTATCTCTGCTGAAGGAGCAGCAGATACTCCTTTTTCTGCATTGCAGCAATCCTGTCAGGCGCTCTGCGGCAGTGTATACAAAGTAATGTGGGATGTCAAATGACTAGAACAGTACTTGATGGCACAGTCTTGCTCTCAGGAGTGTGTTTAGTTTCTGAAGTGTCAATCTATCTGGCATAGAAGTGTGTTGCTGTCAAAGCCTTTAATGCAGCACCTATAGGTTGTGTGACTGAGACAGGCTTAATTGCACCGAGGAATGCTCACAGAGCGAAAGTTTGGATCAATGAGCTTATCTGGATTTTTTACTTGGAGGAAAAGATCAATAATACTTTCACATCTGTGCAAAGAACTGCTGTGCAAAGGCTATTAAATGGAGATAGAATAACGCTGAGACCATCGGGTAATTTTTCTGCTGTCATCTCCAGCTGACTACAACCGTGACTCATCCACGCTTATTGTTTACCTCTCCAGCTTAAAGTTCGGAATAAATCCAATCTTTGCTTGGAATCTGATCTTTGAAAAGATTTTTTAAAGAAAGATACAAACTCCTGGCTTTGAAAAAAGCTGAAATCTTTTAAAGTTATGAGCTTTTGAAATCATCGTTGAGTTTCCAGATGATTGAAAATTCTTTTCAAGTAGTGATGCTCAAGTAGGAACAGCATAGGAATTTCCAGATAGCAAACACCCCACAAGATGAGAGAACCTGCAGGTGAAGGTACTGTCTTATTTTGTATGTTTTTATTTCAAACTGCACACTGCAACATTGTATTGACCATTTTAAAAGGATAATTAGGTGAGCAGGAGGGACAGGTGCACGT